GTGGGCGAGGTGGACGAAGTGGGGGGCGAGTTCGAGTTCGTAGCCGTCAGCTCGCCCGTCGACCTTATAATGGCGACAGGCCTCGCCATCGGGGCCGGAGGTGGTGGCGGAAGCATCGAGCTCGGATAATACTGTGAGAACTTTTGTATGCCAGTGCGGGGTCCGGCTAGCTGCGCCTGGAAATACCACACACCCACCGATCAACGTCGTCGACCCGCGCGTGATCCATTCACCCCGTTTTCTGTGACTTCGCACTCCCGATCTACCGGACTAAGAACTTTGCCTTTTTTTGTATCTTATTCGTCCTTTCGTTTTAACTGATCTCTTGAATTTTTATCTACCGATTCGTTCATTTAGTCATTTACCGTTTAGGGGTTTTGAATCGCGTTGAAACCCGCGTTTGCGAGATTCGTGGATTTTAAGATGGATCATATCGTGACTTTCGTCGATTTACCTAAAACGCATGTAGCTATTTCTTTGGATTCGTAACAATATTGAGAAGTTCGTGCCAATAATGGTGCATCGCAAACGTGGGGTCGGACATTCCATTCGAAATTGCATTCCAAATTTCCACCAAACGATATCCCCATGTTTCTCCAATTAACCGTTTCAATTTTTATCCACTCCGCCGATAAATCTAACAACAAATTGAATTCGAAAAATCCAGGGCGATTGGAACACGGATGACGTTCACGCAGGTCGGAGAAGAACCGCCCCGTTGTCCGTTTCGTCCTCTCGAAGGTAACGAACGGTGTTCCCTGGCTCGAGTCCACGACAACGGACAACGTGGCGGGTTGAAAAAGGATCCGGAAGCTACCTGGGGCAGTTGTTGAGTATTCTCGGCCTCCTGGCAGACGAACGTCACGAAATCCGACAGGGTGTCGTGACCGTTCTCGGGATACTTGACCACCCCCGTGGAGGCAGGGTGCTCCGGTTGGTAGTAGGCAAGCCCGGACATACTTTGACCGGAACCACCGGCCAGTCCTTCGTGCGGGGAGTGCAATCCTGAAACACAATTCACCACTGTCATGGTCCGACTGCGTGGCCAAGGCCACGGTGAAACCACCCCCTAAATTCGACTCGAGTTCCTTTCCTCGAATCGACTCCGTTTCTGCATCCCCTTCCACTTTTCGTTCCTTCATTCTCGACCGAACGAATTACTCTCTTCCTGTTTCGTTAATAAGATCTTCCGACGAAATTTGCGTTTTACTTTCTCTTTACTTTCACCTCTGCTTCTTCTTCGTTTTGCTTGCTTCTCTCTATTTCGTACATAGCTTTCGCGTTATTGTTATCGCCGTTTAGAGAAAGAACTTTAATAGAAGCGAAAGACGTTGAATAATTTGGGCGATTAGGTAAAGCTGGTCTCCGGGCAATCACGTTGTTCGCTCTGGTTTGGTAATGGTAATTGTTAATGCGGAGAATGTTAGTAAAGTTGGAGCCCGCCACGCGAGAGCTTAGCAGAAGAGGGAGCAAACAGAGGTAACGATTGCTGCTGCGAGTCTGTTAGGGGGTGGTTTTAGTGGTACTTCCGAGGGTAGGGGGTCGACCAACTATAACGATCGTGTTAAATATATATATATATACACACACACACACGATATATGTATATATATACATACATATATATACACATATACATATATATATACATATATATACATATATATATGCACACATATATAAGGCACTCCAAGCGTGAGGCTGGCTGGCTGAAATGTACATGTATTTATATACCAGTGTACGCGTGCTCGCGCGCGTACACGTTCCTCTTACAAATTCTTTGGTTTTATTTTTCATATATACGTATATCTTTCTACAATTCTATGATAAATTTTGTTTGTCGCCGAGCACGCGCGCACGCGTATATCATCAACACGGTTATATACATGTATGTATATAGAGAATATATAGGTATATGTAGAGAATATATATAGATATATAGTGCAACAACAAACATCAAACAGCAAGATAACAACGATTAAACAACACATCAAAAAAACATCAAGGTAACAACAACATCAACATCAATACAATGATATACATATATATGCGGTGATATATATGCATGTATGTATGTATATATATATATGTATATGGTAAACAACAACACCAACATCGCAACAACAATATAGAATACGACATAGAGAGAGATAGAGAGAGAGACAGAGAGAGATAAGTAGAGCAATAAACAAGTCAAGTCTCAATCAAGATTCGAAATTAATTGAACCAATCAATCAAGTCAATTAATTAAGTCAATTAATCAATCAATGAATTAATTAATCCATCCAGCATACGACATACCCAGAGCATTAGCCGTGTGACAGTGAGTGAGAAATAGAGATAATATAATGGTGTGCACGGTTCAACGTGAGTACAGTCTCGAGAACTTTACAAAATTGTCAAAGATCTTCTCAAATTCCATTTTTCCAGAATGTCCGGATCTTCTTACGTTTTGTCGTTATATCCCTCTCTGGTTCGTATTATCTTATCATCGTATCACGTATCATGGAAAGATTTGCATATTTTCCATCGCGAGCTTTTATTCCTGACTCGAGGCTGTACCCTTAAAAGTAGTAATACGTGAACAGGTGGGTGTAACAGGGTGGGCAGACAGACAGACAGACAGACACAGACGAACATACAAACAGACAGACAGTCAGACAGCGACAGCTAGCTTACCAGGTAGACCGGTACTACGCAGTTAGCGAGAAATGCCGTCCGTCTGTCTGTCTGTCTGTCCGTTTCCAAGCCCCGGATCTCATAATCATTCTGGTTCCAGTCGATGTTTCTCGACCGATTTTTTAAACGACTACGTTGGAATTACGCTTCGAAATACACGGGGACAGGGACTGGATCGGCTAAATATTGATCCTCGCTTTTTTATCTCCTTTTTTTTTTGTTCTTTTCACTCTGGTTTGATTGATCGGTAACAGACAGGTCAGTCAGACGGACAGGCAAACGGGGGCGTTAGAAAAATATACATATATAGATATTATACACATATGTTACTATACATACACAGGTGAACAGGAATATCGTAGAGTGTACTTATTTCCATATAGAGGCATATAAAAACACCAGTTTGGTTAGAGAATTATCGATTTGGTTAGTTTCGTGGGGGATGCATTGTGGGGATTGCGTTTTAGTCGTCGGTGCGATACAGCGCGAAAGCGATACAATCTTTTTCCTAGATGAAACTAACGTTATGATATCGTCGAATCGTAGAAACATCATTAGAAATTATCTGTCAAAGTATGAACGATTCCATGTGGTTTTATTATTCTATATTTTATTACTCCATGTTTTATTCGAACGAGGAAGTAAACCGTTAGCCGAGATATAAATGTAACTTAATTGATTTCTGCAATTTTCGGAACTTAAATGGCTCGATAGTTTCTAAAAGAGATTCTATCGAGAATGCGCAAAGGATGGGAAAAGTTTAATTGTAAAGAGAATATATTACGATCTTTAGAGTGGCAGTAGAATGGGTTCGTGTTAAGTCAGACACGAGTACTTCTACACTTGTCTGGCATCGATCGTACGTATCCCTGTACGTAACATCAACGTTTCTTTTCTATTTGGAATTTATCTAGACCCTTCGAAGTAGAAAATCGTTCGCCTTTAAATCGTTTTCGACCATGGCTGTACCATATGGCTGAAAGCGCAAGCTTCGTCGATCGTCCGAACGACGCGACGCGTAAAAATAATCGAAATGAACAACTGAAATCGAAAAATCTATCTCTCACGCGGCCATCGAAACTACAACAGACATTCAGCTGATTCAATTTCTTTGATACTTCCCCTTTTTCCATTCTTCTTTGAACAATGACGGTGTTGCAGCGAACGGCCAGAAATTGAATCATTAAACTAAACAGGCAGCCCTTCCACCTCGACGTCCAAAACGAAAGAGAACCGAACGAGTAAACAAAAGGAACGAAAGAAAGAAAAAAGGAAAAAACGGTCAGCACGCCTACCAACGACAGCATTGCGCGAACAATCGTGCACACAGCTGCAGGCGGCTATATAGAATGGCGCAACAATTATTACGAATACACATACATATATACATCCATTTTAATCGTAATAGTTATCAGCATGGCTGGTGATTATCATCGAAGAAATACACATACATACGTATTTATCTATAATAATTGTCGCACGCATATATGTATCTGTATATATAGTGACGAATAAAAGTATGTATTGGCACTAGATTCCCTTGGGAAATTGTATAGGTACGTACAGAGGATTTTGTAGGAAAATCTGATTTGTACCGATACTTTTGTTCATTACTGTATACATAGGTATATTTAAACAGTTATGTGAGATGCAACACCGAATGCTAACACACATATGTATATAACAATTCTCATAATGGGCTAACATAGAACATTCTTGCTTTTTCGGTTCCTCGTGACGCAGCGGTTTACCATATCGCAATCAGACGTCAGGTGGATTTCTCGGGGATCTCCCTGTGGTGGACAAACACGACCCTCGAATTAGTCCACTTTCTTCATTTTCCGCCCTTTCTCTTCCCTCTCTCTCTCCCGTCCCTCTCCATCCCTCTGTCGCTCGGTCGTACGAGGGTGGAAAGGGATCGTTTCAATCCTTTTGCTCGACAATGCTTTGCAATCTTCTTTTACTATTTTGTTTTTAAATAATCATAGAGTACTATTCTTTCTCGACGGCGAGTTCTTTGAGAGAGGAAAGCTTTTTTCTATTTCTAACGACAAAGTCCAGAGTATTTTCACGACATCTACGATTTCTAGCTAACGTCTGGACCCGGTTGAAACTTCGCTGATCGCGAAGTGGACAGGTGCCAGTGTTTCATCGTGGTTTAACAAGTCATGCAGTCGAAAGACTAGTTTCTCAGTCATATCCGGCATTCTTTAGTATTTTACGCTAGCTTTCGCAATTAAAAAATATCCAAGTCGTCGATCTTTATAATGTAAATCATTCTAATTCTCCGAAATGTTTATCGAAAGATCGTTCATAAGTTTTAAAAGTTGGATATTCGAAAGTCTCGCGAAGATTAACAAGCATAAAACTTTCGATGTGAAGAAAAAAGGATCGTATTATAATTCCTTTCTAATCGTCAGTTTCATACGTGTCTTTCGTTACAACGAAACCTATCAATTGAAAAATTAAATGTTCGTGCATCTTGGAGGAGGAAAAATGGGATAGAAAAAGCACGCGAGAAAGAATACAGGGAAAGCGAGTAATGGAAACGACCAATAAATCGTACAGGGCTCGCGCACTGTACAGAACAAAGCTCGTGGACACTTGAACGGCAATCGATTGTTCGACGTAATACCGCGGTGTTCTATGCAGGGAATGCAGTAAAAAAAACTCGCTCGTATTGCGCGTGAAACAAGCATTTTCCATGTGGACGGTCATCAAACCAACCAATAACCAACGATGGAGTCAACACGGTGCAACAACTACCATAACAACAGAGTCGAGAACTAGGGAACTCGTAAAACAACAACAAGAAAGGAAATTTCAAAGGAAAAAGAGGAAAACATGAAGAAATAGAAGAAAAAGATGGGACAAACGAAACAAGGACGTGCCGTTTTAGCGTACTATCGATGGAAGAGATACATATACATATATTTTGCGAGCTTTTAAAATCTATCAGGTGTTCAAGTTTGATTATATTGCCATATAGGGGGATACAAGGAGTTTGAAATCACGTTCAAGACTATAAAATGTTAATTTGGAGGTGTTTCTTCCTCTGTAGCATAATGTTCGAAGAATTGTTTATAGTATATAATTTGCAAAGCACATTCTTGAAACACACAATTTTCGCAGAATTATATACCAACAAAGTTTCGTATATTAATTGGCAAATAACTTTTACACTCGGAGATTTACTATGTTTTTACATTAAGATGTTTACAACTGTAAGTGCGGCTACATCGGTTATGATGTCTCGACGACTCATAATGTCGCTGATCGTTTTAATATATAGCCTCGCAGTATTTTCTTCCATCCAATATACGCTG